GTTCAACTGGCCCCCCATCAACATCTGAGCTATCACCGTCAACCTCAACTGATCAAATACTCTCAGTTGATGCTAGTCCTCCATCTGAAATGGAGATTTCTCTTGAAATAAGTTATCTAAAAAGACATAAAGCCTCCGACCCAGACTGGCTGACCACATCGGCTTTTAGGGATGGAGGCTCAGCCTTAGTCTCGGAGTTAACAAAACTCCTGGGCTCAGTGTGGGAGAGAGAACAGGTTCCAACTGAATGGTGGGAATCTGTGATCATACCGATATACAAGAAAGGTGACAGATCCTCTTGTGAAAACCACAGGAATTAGTTTAGTCAACATCGTCTCTAAACCTCTCGCTGGTATCATACTCCGTCGATTGTCTGCCGCACGTAAACGGTGAACGCGTGAGATCCAGGCTGGCTTTAGACCTGGTCGATCACATTTTCACTCTTCGCCAAACTCTGGAGCACCGGCATTCCTTTTGTAGACCCACTATCTATGGCTTTCTCGATTTGAAAGCAGCCTTCGACTCAGTCGACCGCTCCAAACCCTGGCGCTGCCTTTTCCTAAAAGGCGTGCCCGAGAAGTTTATTTCAATATTACAATTCCTTTATACTAATAGCCGAAGTCGATTCCGAGCTCACGGCACGCTTTCACCCAACTTCACCACAAAAGGTGGTGTTCGATAGGGTTGCCTGCTCTCTCCTTTTCTATTTAACTTTGTTATTGATCTGATTATTTAAACAGCCCTATCCTCGTGCCAGAATAGCGGTATCGATTTACTCCTAGGTGGCAGGCTGTCTGATCTAGAATATGCAGACGACATTGTGCTACTAAGTGAAGATCCTGGTAAATTACAAGCCCTTCTAGATAACTTGAACGCTAGTGTAACCATGTTCGGTATGCGTTTTACACCTTCAAAGTGTAAAATGTTACTTCAAGACTGGGTTGGTCCTACACCCAGTCTCATCGTCACTGGGTAAGTAGTAGAGCAAGTAGACAAATTTTGCTATCTGGACACGATTTTTATTTGAGCAATGATATCTCACCCGGTGGACGCATCACGGATGAAGTGTCAGCTCGCATACAGAAGGCTCGATTGGCATTTGCCAAATTGAAACATCTGTGGCGCCGTCGCGACATCCGGCCGTCTGTGAAGGGTAGAGTGTATGCTGCGGCAGTTCATCCAGTTCTGCTATACGGTGCAGAAACTTGGGCATTAAGGATACAGGTTAAAAATAAACTGTCGGTGTTTGAACATCGCTGTCTACGCAACTTTGCACGAATCTGGTGGGGTAGCCGGACGAGCAATTCTGAGGTTAGGTGCAGAGTTTTGGATCATCGTGGTGGCCCACTGGAGCAAAGAGTCGGCCTCCATAGATTAAGTTGGTTGGGTTGTGTTACGCATGTCACCAGATAGGTTGCCACAGCGAGCGATGTCCACCGAGGTAGGTAACGGGGGAAGAAAGTCAAGGGTGGTCAAGCTAAGATCTGGAATGAGGGTATGAAAACCCTAACCAGGAGTCTGAGTCAAGTAGGTCCCGTTAGGCTCCCTGGCTGGGGACCTCGGGATGATCATACCCGACGATTAGAGACACTGAGTGATATGGCTGGGTGTCATAAACAATGGTGTTCGTGCATCTTATCGATTTCTTTGCAAAATTAGTGCAATGAAATCCTAAATTTTCTCTTCGATCCTACTTCCAACCTTTCCTGTCTTTTTTTCATGTTCATCCAAATGGGCAGCCAAAAGAAAGCAACCAATACCGGCGCAAGATAGTGCATAGTCAAGGGTTGTAGAAACTGAAACTGTAAACTGGAAGGGCGTCTGGTCCACGCTGATATTGAGAACTCCTCCTTCACTAATAGCCTTATTTGCATTTGCTTCATTCACGGAAATTATGATCAGATGCGTTACGGCTTTTCACAAGTTGTGATATGAATTCGAGACACTGGATCACATAGATACCGTTAACCTAACTGGATGGGGAACACGAAACCATGGTAAACGGTCTTTAGAGACACTGAGTGATACGGCCTAGTATCGCAGACAGTAGCGCTCGTGAATCTACTCAATATTCTTGCGACTCCTGTGTGTATGAACTCTCCACTTTCTCTTTGATTCTGATCTCAACATTTCAATCTTCGTTGTGCTGTCTTATCCAGATGGACAGTTAAAAGACAGTAACCTAGACCGATGCATGAAAGTGCATGATGAATG